AAAAAAAATTAATACATTTAATAAGGGTAAACTTGGAAAACAAAAACTAGTTTGTGTGATGCATTAATGACATTGTTTTAAGTGTAAGGAAAGTGACACTTGTCATGAGGAGAAGGGAGAAGGTCCAAAAGAGAAGGTTGGAGAGAAGGTTGCTAGCATTTCTCATATAAAGAATGCATAAAAGAAGAACCAAATACAGAAGGCACTTCAAAAATTGAGCTTCACTGTGAGTATGGGATAATGGATGAGTGAAAAGGTCAAAACAATTTTGGAAGTGTGAATAAAAGAAAGAAATCATATCACGGAGAAAAATAAAAACCCATCATTGTCTTGGTGTTGGAAAAATTGTAGTGGATGCATAAAACTCTAAAACAATTTTGAATGTTAATAAAAAGGCGAAGATGTCATTACAGGGAAGAAAAAAAGACAAAGCTTCACAGTGTTGGAAAAAGTTTTGTGGACTATTTTTTTCAAAAGTCTTCAAATGAATGTGCTCATTAATTTTTTGACTCACACATTTTGGTCTCTATCATTGCATTTTGTCAAAATTTTCATAAAATTTATCGCGTGACAACACATGACACAACCTATCGATTCATGACACGAAGTAAACAAAGCTATATATCGGAGAAAGAAAATAACTTCAAAATGACCAACAGGAGTTGGTCCAAGTGGAAGGGGCTTGGATCCTTTAAACAAGAGGTCCTGGGTTCGATCCCAGGCGCTTGCGAATAGAGCAGACTTTGTTGGGAGAGGTCCCCACTTTGCGCCCGACAGTACCTCGAAGGTTAGTCCCCGCAATCGCGCGGGGATACCTTGGTTTTCACCAAAAAAAAAAAAAAAAAAAAAAAAAAAAAAACTTCAAAATGAGAATGTTTCAAAAATTCAGAGGCCACTTGTGATGGTGTGAAAGAAAGCTCCATTTGCATTAGCGTTGGAAAATGTTCTATGGACAAGACAAGACCAAAGCATTCAAAGAACTATGAAAAGCGGGTATAAAAAGGAAGAAATCTTATCGGAGAAAGAAAAGCTTCAAACACTGCGTTAGTGCTGGAAAAAATTTAGTGGATGAATAAAAGTTGATAACAATTCTCCAAGTGGTTTGCCAATTTTAGTGGATGAAGAAAAATTCAACACGGGCTACAGATGAATCTATATGCTTGTCATCTTCATACTCCTCGAGACTGATTTATGATCATGCCCTGCAAAGATGGAAAGAAATTTGAAATTAGCTTAGTATTAATTTGAAATTACTATATTTGTATACCACATTCTCATACCACTTTATGTAGCAGATGAGGTGGACAACCAAATCAATTAAAATTTCTCGCCTCTCTGCACACGCTTTCGTGCCTGTGAGAGGCTTTTTTTTTTTAAAATTTAAATTTTATTTTAGAATTAAAAAAGATAATGGGTAGTTGTTTTCCATAAAAATAGGATCCATTATCCAATTTTTCTATTAATTGTAATTTTTTAAAATATGAAAAGTGTGAATTTACCATATTATCCTCATTTAATTAATAATTTCAATTCTTAATGTTAGCATTAATCAAGGGCATTTTCTGGTATTTTGAATGTTTCACAATTCTCTGCCTTTTGCTTTATATATACTAGCCTTTCCGCACGCGCTTCCGCGCATGCGAGAGGCTTTTTAAAAATAAACAAAAAATTTATTTTAGTATTTTAGAATTAAAAAAATAATGGGTAGTTGTGTTGTGTTCCATAAAAATAGGATCCATTATTTGAATTTTCTTTTAATTTTAATTTTTTTAAATATGAAAAAGTGTGAATTTACCATATTATCATCATTTAATTAATAATTTTAATTTTTAATGTTTGCATTAACCAAGGGCATTTTCTGGTATTTTGAATGTTTCACCATTCTATGCCTTTTGCTTTATATATATAGATATATATATATATATATAATAAAGTAAATTTTGAGTTATCAATAATATTTTAAGTCTGAGTTATCATAGTCCTATACATTCTAAATTTGAGTTAATTTCAAGTTATTATTAATTTCATGAGATATTCTGGTTATTTGAGTTACGTCTATACTACATACTATCTTTGAGAGCATTTAAAAAGATTTTGTTTAAGTGCCAGCTTTCATAGAACTTGATGGAACTTTATAATTCATATAGATAGTCCCGATCTTTTGGACCATAGGAGTCCAAGAGATTATGGTCACCCACCGTTGGATATTAATCTAATGGTTTAAAAAAGTTTCTTAAAATGAGTGCAAGAGTAAGTGAACCGTTGAATTTACATCCAACGGTGAGTGACCACAAATCTCTTGGACCCTTGTAGTCCAAGAGATCAGGACTATTCATATAAAACTTGATAGACTTTCAGAAGACTTTTGTATAATTTTTTAATAAGCTTTCATAGAACTTGTATGGCTTTATTCCAGACTTATGTAGACAGTATATTTCATTTTATCCCCATCCTTGTCGTTTTAAAGAAAGAAACTTGAATTTTTTCAATCAAATTGTTTTTGTTACCCAAAGCAAAAACAAAAAGTACTTGTAAATAAAATTTTAAACAACATGAAATAAAAAACCAAATTCATAACATCTTTTCCTTCAACAACATGAAATAAAATTGTGTTTAACGAAAAGCAATAAAACCTATATCATTCTATGAATATATAGAACTAATAGACACATCTTATGTTGAATACAAATATGAATGATATAGAACAAATGGCTGAATGGATTGAAAAAGAATTGGAGTGAAGAATAGAGAAAGGACGCAGTAGGAATTACAGATTTGGCGTTCGAGCTCTAATTGGGGCGTATGATACCTTTTTGAAAAGGGAACGATGCCACGAGTCATACACACAGTGTTACTGTGATATGTGGTGGATTTTGGGCTTTTGAGGTCGTTTAGGCTTCCAAAACAACATTTAAAAGTTGTAATTTTTGGATTTTCATTTTTTTAATGTTCATTTATATTTGTCTCAGTTTTTTTGTTTGATTATTGAAAGGTTGTCAATTATTTCAATTTTCTATCTAGTGATTCAATGAACAATTCTTATAAAGTTGTATATAGATATTTCATAAGAAAAACAAGTAGTAACAAGCATAAACCCAAGTAAAAATGCATAAACCCTAGTAACAAGTATAAACCCTAACCCCAAGCTATAACCTAATAACAAGAAACGCGATGAAGAAAAATCATGGAAAAAGAAAACCCAACGAGGTATTAATCAAAGAAAAAATACGGAGCATACCTTCACAGATGGAGGAAGGAAGCTGTTCGTCTTCTATTGCAGAGAGAAAAGCTAGGGCAAGAGAAAAAAGTCTGATGAAAATACTTGGGGTGGAGGTTGGATTTATTATGGTCTTTGTTACTTATAGCTCTCCCCTTAAAACCTACGAACATTTATCACTTAATGAAATCCTTCCAAATATATGACCTTTCAAATACACCTAGATTTGATTCAACTTTTTTATAATCCTAATTGAATACACCCAGACTTGTAAAACCTATTTTAAAGTTTGTATAAATCCAAATTGAATACACCTGGATTTTTAAAATCTTTTTAAACGCTTTATAATCCTAATTGAATACACCCCCTTTATATTTTAGTTATTTGCATTTATTCAATTATGAGTTTTAATTATCAGTTAAACAAATTCATCAAAGTCTTCTTCTTCCTCCAGTTAACCTTCCGCCCTTCTTCTTTCTGAGTTACTATTAGTCTGGCTTCTGAGTTACAAATTCATCAAAATCATAAACTTAATCATAAGGGCATTTTAGTCAAAATTTGATATTAAACTCACTTAATTCCAATATTTTCAGATCAAACCAAATTCATAAAACACCCAATAAAGTCACACAACTTAATAAGATTTTCCACAAAAATAATAAAACCAAGTATTATTTTTGAGGTTATTACATAATTAGACCGTAATACGTTTTAAGAAATAATTTAAAAAAATAATTAGTATTAAAAAAATATATTTTTTAAAGGATGGTA